AGAAAATCCTATAGAGTATTTAATAACAGATTACATATAGTTGAAGATTCTGTACATGTTTCCTTTGATGAATACGATCCAAAATTAGTCGGAAAGGGTAGTGTTTATGATGGTGCAGGTGTATCTTCGAAAAGCATACTACAAGATCCCAAAGAAAAGGACTCGTAATCTACTAAAATTGAAGAAAAGTTGGATCAAGTATCCGAAGAAAGAGAGGAAGATCATCCAAGCAATAAAAATGATCTTCCTTTGGAATGGAAAACCTCTAAGGATCATCCTATCGACAACATCCTAGGAGATATATCAAAGGGAGTAACAACTCGCTCTAAGTTAAGTAACTTTTGTTATCATTTTGCTTTTGTCTCTCAAATTGAACCCAAAAACTCTAAAGATGCCTTACTCGATGAATATTGGTTTTTAGCCATGAAAGAGGAACTAAATCAGTTTAAAGAAATGAGGTTTGGGACCTTGTCCCCCCTCCGCGAGATCATCGAGTTATTGGAACCAAATGGGTTTTTAGGAACAAATTATACGAAAACAGAATTATAACTCGCAACAAAGCTCGACTTGTTGCCAAAGGGTATAACCAAGAGGAAAACATATATTATGAGGAAACTTATACTCTAGTTGCCCGACTCGAGGCTATACGCCTTTTGCTTGCATATGCATGCTCGCAAAACTTCAAATTATTCCAAATGGATGTAAAAAGTGCCTTCTTAAATAGATACATTAATGAAGAGGTTTATGTGTCTCAACCTCCCGATTTTGAGAATTTTGAGAATCCTAACTATGTTTACAAACTTAACCGTATGCTATACGGTCTTAAATAAGCCCCTAGGGCTTAGTACGAACGTCTTAGCAAATTCTTATTAGATCAAGGATTCTAAGGAGGAAAGGTTGACACAACCCTTTTTATTAAGCATGAAGGAAAGCATTTTATTTTAGTTCAAGTTTATGTAGATGACATTATTTTTAGTTCTTCTAACGCATCTTTGGTCAAGAAATTCTCTAAGATGATGCAGGGAGAATTTGAGATGAGCATGATGGGAGAGTTAAACTACTTTCTTGGACTTCAAATCAAGAAATTAATGGAACTTTCGTGAGTCAAACCAAATATTGTCTTGACCTACTCAAGCGATTTGACATGGCAAACTCTAAAGCTATCGATACTCCTATGCCTACCGCTGTGAACTTGGACCGTGATGATAATGTAAGCTCGTCGATATAAAAAGGTATAGAGGTATGATTGGTTCCCTTCTTTATCTTACGGCCTCTCGTCCAGATATTATGTTTAGTGTTTGCATGTGTACTCGATTTCAATCATGTCCTAAGGATTCACATTTAAAATCCGTAAAGCGCATATTTAGGTACCTTAGTGGTACTACTAAGTATGGACTTTGGTACTCTAAGGGTAGTGATTGTTCTTTGGTTGGCTATTCCAATTCTGAATTTTCCGGTTGGAAATCGGATAGGAAAAGCACTAGTGGTACTGGTCATTTCTTTTCAAATTCTTTGGTAAGTTGTCATAGCAAAAAGCAAGTTTCAGTTGCATTGTCAATCGCCAAAGTGGAATACGTTGTAGTCGGTAATTGTTGTGCCCAAATCCTGTGGCTCAAACAACAATTACTCGACTTTAATGTCCAACTTGATCATATTCCTATTTACTGTGACAATATAAGTGCCATCAACCTAACCAAAAATTCGATTTTGCACTCTCGCACAAAACGTATTGATATAAGGCATCATTTTCTAAGGGATCATGTTGAAAAGGGTGATGTTATTTTTGAGCATGTTGATAGCAAAAATCAACTTGCTAACATTTTTACTAAACCACTCGCTACAGATCCCTTTCATCACATCTGTAAGGAACTTGGTGTTCTCGATATCTCGAATAGGTTATAACTTAAGTAAGTTGCATACCTTTTATTTTATTGAACATATTCTCTTAATGCTTGATGCTCTTATGAATAGCCTTGGTTAAAGCTATTATCAACTCTCATAAAGGTAATATCGTTCTCATCTATTCTCCACTCTTAACCATGTGTGAATGGTAAACTTGTTCTTCTTTATCGTTATTATTAAAGTACATAGGGATTCTAAAAGTTACGTAAATTGCATGAAATCAATTGAAAAAGCTGCATAAAAACAAAATTCTTTACTTTTGAGTCGACTCATAGCTTACATGAGTCGACGCATACTTTGTATTTCCTTCAGCATTTTCTAAACCTTCCACCTGATGCTTCAGAAAACAATGATACCGAAAACCTAGAGAATTGATTCATGTTTATATATATGTAATTCTGTTTAAGTTCTTATGTTATGTTTCTTTTGATTACCTCATGCACTTATCATTATGAACTAGTTTGTAATATTCTACATACATTTGTCTAATTATTGTATTTTATGATCCACACTAATTTCATTTTGTGTGAATGATTGTTGGTGTTTTTAGTTGCAAAAGGAAAATGATGTTGCATTTGTTATATTTTGTTACTTTTGACCTTGTGTTATTTCTCTTTTTGATGTTGTCAAAGGGGGAGAAGTGAACATAAAAGACTATACATAGCTTGCAAACGAAATCCACAAACTCAGGGAAAGCATATTTGAGCATTGTTTTGACATCATCAAAAAGGGGGAATATGTGAGGGTAAAGTCCCTCTATAAGTATTTTAATGATGTCAAAATGATTATTATTCTCTCTCTATTTTGGTTGACTCTATGAACAATCTTGTAATAGAAGTATTGAAATGAAGATCTCCAGAAACAAGTATTTTTGAGAAAATTCAATTTGTGCGTCGACTCAAAGATAGGTGTGGTCGACTCATCATCCTCAATCAAGCCCTGGATGTGTCAGGTCATTCCTTCCAGTCGACTCAAACTGGAAATCAAAATACTCAAAGTTTGCGTCGATGCAAGCCCTGAAGCGGTCGACGCACTGCACTTCAAAATGGAATTCTCTCTGACTGTTGGATGTATCGCGTCGACCCTTCTGGTCGACTCAACTTGGGAATCAGAATATTTAAAGTTTGCGTCGACGCAAGTCCTAAAGCAGTCGACGCATTACATTTCAAAATAGTTTTCTCTCTGGGTGCGGGTTGTGTCGCACTGACTCCTGCTTCTGGTTGAGTCGACCGCTCGCTGACCTCAACTGATTTTCTTCTATGTTTGTGAATCTTAGGTATTAGGTTATATATATATATATATATATATATATATATATATATATATATATATATATATATATATATATATATATATATATATATATATATATATATATATATATATATATATATATATTATTATGCATCATTATTTATAGTAAACAAGAACTAGTGAAAGATACACATAGTGCTCATCATCTTCATCCCCTCTTTTCAAAAATCAACATCTATACATAATCATGGTTGTTGATTCGAGAAAATTGTTGTGGTGATAACATTCAAATCAAGGATTCAATACAGATTTGGGTTGAGCAATTGTGGGTTGCTCTTGAATAAAATCATTGGGATTTTCTCCTCCAAGATTTCTATTGGTGCGGGGGTTTTTGCACAAGTCTTTGCTTCATTGAATTCATCTGAGTGAAAGGATTAAGAAACAGTGAGTTTGCTTAATCAAGTAGCGGTAACCGGAGGATTGTGAAGATAGATTTGGGGTCAAATTGCTTGCGATCGAAATCAGCCGAGTGAAAGAATTAAGAAACAATGGGTTTGCTTAATCAAGTAGCGGTAATCTGAGATTTGTTCGAAGAATTTAGCACTTGGTTTTGCTCAAACCAAGGGAAGAGAAGAGGACTGTTACATCAACAACATTAATTTGTTTGTATTGTGAACTATCTCTTCTCTTGTATCATTTGCAACTTAATATCAAATATCTCAATTCTAGATTCTAGAATTGGGGACAAACGTACCCTACGCGAGGACGATAAGGGGAATTGCCTTAACAAATCGTGTGTTCTTCTGCTTTTTCTTCATCTCTATACTTGATTACTAAACTGTACGAAAATTAATTTGTCAAGTCTGCACTTACTGAAATTGTAGTGTTTTGAGTTCATTTCAAAACATTGGTAACAATCCTTTTGATTGATACCTAAGAAAACTTACGACTACAATTTTGTAAAACCAAACCTAAGGTGCTTTGCTCACAAGGTGTTTGACAAATGACTAATCCGCAAAATTATTAATTGTGCATATCTTTATCTCATTCAACTCATTGATAGTAATTAGTAATCATTGAGAGTGTATAAGTAATTGATTAATTAAGTAAAACGCATTGATTCTTATTCTGTCATTATATCCTATACGGTTTCGCATATCCAATCTTTTCAATAGAGTATCGTTTAAACGGTTATATATTCCATGAAGCTTTCGCATATTTTTTTGAAAACAAATTTTAAAAACGCAAATTATTTTAAACGATCTATTCAACCTCCTTCTAGATCGATCACATCGTCTAACATAAAGCTTTGGTTGTTGTCCCTTATGAGCTAATGTCCAATATACTCTCTCCTTTTTGGCGGATAAGTAAAAACAATTCTTTAAAAAGATACAGTTTTGGACAATGATTAAATAGAATAAATGTGGATTCTTTTTCCTTTGGACAAAAGAAAGTTTGCAGATGGTATTTACATACAGAACTTAAATGGCAAATTGCACAATAACATCGTGACAAAACTAAAAAAAAAATAAAGTAGCTTAAAACACAAGGTTAACCTTATTCTCACTCATATATATGATGGGTAAGTTACACAATAAAAAAAATGGTGTATAATACAACAAATAATGTAACAAAATGGAGTCCCCTATTGCAGCTCCATCTTAAGACTATGATGTGATTCAAATCTTACGGCGCATAATTATACAATGTGAATGCCAACAACACGCCCTTTTGATACATCCCTTCTAAAAATATTATCTAATGAAAAAGGTGTTCAAGATTATGTAAAAAAAAAGGTGTTACTAGCATTCATATGATAAATACTCTTTGGTAGTTAGTATCAGTCAAACTGACTCATCAGATTCATCAGAGTCACTCCTATCATTATCCCCGGCGTTTGTATGACTCTCTGGAACATCATGTTTTGATACAGGTGTAGCTGCAGGTTTTTTGTTAGCACCTCGAGCATTCTCATCCCCTTCTTGCTCAGCTATTTCCACATGTGAATCTCAGTCAAGAAAATACCCATAGGTTATTTATATTTACACTTTAAAACTACAAAGAAAAAGTAACAAACTTGCTTTTATCATTGATGCAAATAGCTATTATGGGTTATCCCTTGAACCCCAAGTCAAATAAACAAATTTGTTTCAAGGGCAAAAGCAGGTAATTTGGGTAATGAACAAAAAAGAATCTCAACAACCATCCATTTCAAAGAAATTTTTTAAAAGTGGAGTAAAATTTTTATAAAGTTCACTAAATTAAATAACCAAGATGAAAGGATATCAAGATTATCAGCCGTTCCTCCAGCAATGATTTTGAGAAGATCTTTCTCAACACGAGAGACAAGCTCAGGCTGGAAAATGAAGAATGACAAAAATATGATAAGTAAGATAGCACACAAACACACACACACGTACATAATGCTATGCAAATGAATAGCATACATTAAGGTCAGGCTCTCTGCGGAATCTCCGCTTGCGGGCGTCTCTCATAGGAGGGGTGAGGCCATGTCTACATTCAATTACATCTGGAGCAGCATCACCGGATTCCCTCACCATAATCATCTGTTAGTTGCATCCATCAAAACAAATAGTTATTTAACTATCCAAATCATGAATTTATGACTGAATGAATAATGTGAACAACCATGGATACCTGACCTGACTAATATCTGCGGTCTTAACCAAAGAGTTATCGTCGTAAGTCTTGTATGATTCAACAACAGAAGGAAGGTCCAGTAGATAAGCTGGGAAGTGCTCATCCCCAATAACAAACTCGCCGCTTCTTCCATCCTCGGTAAATTGCAAATCTAGCGACTTGTCTTCAGACGATGAAGACGGATTGCTTTCGTTAAGAAGACGCTCTATCTGTTCCGCAACATTCGGTGGAACTCTGAGTATGAATTGCTCCTCCATAACTACATCCGTTAATTTTGTTATGAACCATTACAAAATCAGAAATTAATAATAGAATCAAATTGAATTGATTTGAATTAAGGTTAAAAAAATTGAATGATCGCAAACCGAATAACTGAAGGGAGTGGCGGCGTTGACGATGTTGCTTACCAGAATCGAAAATTGATTGAGGGGTTTTGAAGTAGAGATGATGAGAGAGACTTTGATCGGTTTAGTTTTGGAAGATGAGGTCTTTTGCGGCGGGAATCGGAGCGTGAAGGTGGCGCTAGGGTTCTCCGGTTGAGAGATCTGAGAGGGTTGAGTTAGAAGAGAGAGAATAAGAAGAAGCAAATGAAGGGGGTTGAAAAAATTGCGTAGCATCTTGGGTTGGACGGTTGGGTCCGGGTTTGATTCATCCAACGATTAGTTTTGCTTCATGTGCTAAGATGTGCTCATGGCCGTTGGATCAAGGGGAAAATAACGAGCGACGGTATTGCAAAACTAAAAACTAAAGGGAAATAACTGAAATAATAAGTCATAATCAATATATAAAATAAAATTTAAAAAAAAAAGAAAAGAAAATCGATGAATTAGATACTAAATGTTTTAATTAAATAGTTGGTCACACAAAATATTTCACACGAATCGTGCAAATAACGACATTCGAAAAATATCGAATTTGATTTCTAACATGAATATTGTTTGATCAGTATTCAAACTTGAGTTCACGGGCTCTGAACTAATAAGATTTCATTCTCCTATGAACTAGAGTGTGAAAGTAAAAAAAAAGAATTTAAATATAATAATATTTAGATGTGATTTTTATTATTTTTTAATGAAATTTTAACAAATTGTCATACCCCAAATTTATTATACCCTTATATTATATTTAGATTTCTATTTAAGTAAATCATATTATGGAGGTTTTATTTCTATAGAGGCCACAATATCTGATGACTCATTAAAGTTTCACTCATATTTTGAGAGGAGGCGCGCTGATTAAAGAGGTTGTTGTTGTTGAATAGAGAGGCCCATTAAGATTTTTTAGCTAGTTTTCAATAATGAAGGGGTACAAATTTATTGGGTCAGACCCATTAAGCTGCTCAGCTAACCCATTCTTTTTTTTTATTGTTGAGTAATAAACCAGGGGGAATTGTATTTTGTTTTAATCAGATTAGGGCCCATTAAAATTTTCATACCGGCCCATTAAATTATTAAAAATACTATTTTTTTTAGAATAAGTTAGGGGGTACGTTTTTCTTTTAAAAAAAGGGCCCATAAGAAATCTTTTTCGTTTAAGGCCTAATAAGGAGGCCCATTCAGTTTTTTATTTTTGATTTGAGGATGTTTTTTTCTTTGTTGCAAATATTACATTATTGAAATTATTGTTACTACTATTATTAACATTATTATATTTTTATTAACTATTATTATTACTGACTTTTTCCTTGTTAAACATTATATTTTAAGCTTAATTAAAAAAGGTGGTGTTTATTTTTTATTTAAGAACAAAAAACATTGACATTACAGCTCAAATAGGCAGGCCCGATTCCAAATTAAACAAAGAAACATTAAACAAAAAAAGGCTTTTTCGTTTTTTGCACAGTCCAAGCCAAACGAGCCCAAGCCCAGAAAAAAGCAGACAAACGCATACTGTTCAAATTATGAGAAAGATAATACACTTTTTCAGTACAGAAACGCACACTGTTCAAATCGTAAGAACGAATAATCAAATAGAAGTAAATTTATACATTAAGTTTCCAGAGACAATTTCAAACTAATACAAAAACTAAATTAATACGAATCAAAACCTAATACAAACATAATCAGACAAAATCAAGTTCATAATCAATACAAAATTAAAATTGTATTAACTTTACAGACATATTAAAAAGTTTCCTAAATCTATGAACCCTAAAAGATGTTATAAAAACTAAGAATGAATACAGAAAGAGGAGGGACACAAAAATTTACAGAGAAAATTTTAAATTGGAAGGAGTTTGAAGAGCAGAGAGAAAGCCATGTTTCTATCATCGTCGTAAATCCATCACTCCAACTTAGAGTTTCAACGTCTTAAACCCTAAGTTTGATGCCACCTTCGTCATCCTCGTCGTCACCTCATACCTGCGAAAGAAAGAAAGAGAGATTAGTGAAAGGGTCAGGAACCGGAACAAATGAGAAATCGCATCTAGGGTAACAAATCACTTAGCCTTCTTTTTCTTTATTTTCTTTGTAATAGCTATTTTCATGTTTAATTTTGGGGGTGGGTGAGAACGACCGTCGTCAGGGAGTAGATTGGTAGCGGCGGCGAGTTTAGGGTTTGTTTTTAGGTTGAGAGAAGAAAGAGAGAAGAGGAAACATATGCGGAGAGAGAGAGAAGAGGATAACAATAAAAATGAAAAAAAATGTTTTGTAAAACAAAAATATTTTTATGTATAATGATCCCATGCGCGCAGCTCACCACTATAACCGTGCTTCCTCAATCTCAACCACACGATCTCAATCCAGCGTCCTAAAACGCGCTTCCACCGTAACACCAATACACTCGCCCACAGGCTATCCAACTGGACTCCCCTATAACAATCCCCTAGGCCAGGTCCGTAACTAAGCGCACCCCCCATTTTTTATTTCAACGCAAAATTACACCCCCATCCTAGTGGACCAAGTCCAAAATCTGGGCTTGAACCTCTATTGTTAATACCCCCCCCCCCCCCCAACTCATTTTACTATGTAGTTTAAAAACATACCCTCATGCGCTTTTGGGCCTGAATTCAGGCCCATGCTATCGACACCTTCCATTTTTACTCCTAAACTATATTCACACCCCCTTGCTTCTATTTAGTTTTCTTCATTATTTTTCTATTTTCTATTTTCTTTTTATAATTATAATATTATAATATTTATTATTATTATTATTATTATTATTATTATTATTAAATCACACAATTATTATTTTCTAATTTCATCCAAAATGTTATTTATTTTTATTGCATAAAAATATTTTTTAATCATGAATTTAAATAAAGATGTTTTCTACAATTAACACATAAAAAAATTCAACTGATAATAAATCATTTTTCATAACTAAATTAATTCAACAATTAATTTTTGAAAAGGATTACGAAGCATATTTTAATTAATTGAGCGCTTTGTCTAAATATCTCCGCTATTCACATACCTAGACTAAGTATGCGGGAAATTCAAAAATATTCGTAATCCATAAAAAACATAAATCAACTACGAACTACGAATTGAGACTCTGATTCCTCATAAGAGGATAAGTAGGCATACGACTAAAATTGTGGCGAGTTCCCCTATTAAAATATAAAAACCCTATTTCCTTAAAGATCGCGCTTCTAAACTTAGTATCCTTGTGAACAAGATAGATGAAGGGTGCCTAACACATTCCCTTCGTCTAGAATCGAGTCAATAGCCTAGAATCTCTAACTTTTTAGGGTTAACATTTATATTCTCTTCCTTAGGATAAAAATTAAGGGTGACGACTCGTATTTTAAAACCAGTTACAACAGCTGGCGACTCTATTGGGGACTTAACCCTAGGCTTAGAAGCCTTGTCTTTTGGTTTTAAGGTTCTTCTTATTTTTGGGTTGTTTATTTGTTTATTTAATTATTTATTTATTCATTTATTTATCTATTGTTATTTTATCATATTATTATATATGTGGTGGGAATTAAATTTTGCAAAAAGTTATTTCAAAAAGAACCCTTAGAAATAAGGTTTGTCTATTAGCCAAGGGGATACATCAACCCTATGAGTTTTTGTAACGATTTCACCTAGAGTCGGTGAAATTCCGTGAAAGGAATACGTCTCAAGAGATATCCTCTCGGGAAGTAGGACTTTGGAATGAAACCTATGACTCTTTGTATAACCCTTAAACCAAAAGCTCATGATGAGACCTTTCATGACTTAGAGATGAAAGTTTTGGTCTGCAAAGAGGCTCCATTTAAGGGAGGCCATTGTGCCTTTCCCTCTAGTGTCATTCATGATACCCTTAAAGAAATCGCTTTATGAGGAGGGTAAAATATCCATAGGCCAAAACTAGGAGCCTACCAACTAAGGATACCTTTCACATCTCACTACAATCCCTAAACCCGCGAGGGTTATCTTTTCTTCCACTATCATCTTTAGCCCGTAGGGCTTCCGTCTTTTTATATAATCCCTAGCCTATAGGGATTCTTCTTCATCTTTCTTTATCCTTAAGGAGTTGTTGTCTGTCTCAATCTCTGAGTCAATGTAGGGTATCCTTATTTCTATGTATGTCCTTATCTTCGTCTTTAAGGAGTTCATGCATGTCTCAATTTCCGAGTTAGTGTAGGACATCATCATTTTCATATCTACCCCTAAACCTATATAGGGTACCCCTACGTCTACCCTCATACTATGTTTACGTCACATTACATATCCATGAAACTTTTTTTTTACGTACCTAAGAGCCAAAAAAAAATTTTTTTTACATACTCGAGCATTTTCATTTTCATTCCGTCTGCGTAAAGCTCATATCTCTTCCACTCACAGAAAACTTCCAACCATAGTCCAACAAGGTGATTCCCAGATACTCAAAGTGAACTCGAATAACTCACTAAGCAAGCATAACGTTAGCTATGACAATGAGAGAAGGTTAACAAGCCATAACTGAGGGCGTCATTACACTTCAAGAAAACACTCAGGCTCAACCTCATCCTATACAAGCTTCAATTAAGAACCTTGATGTGTAGGAACACACAGTTTTCCAAGATGGGTATGCTTCATCCCATAAATCCATTGAGTATCATCAATTTACATTCCCTATTCCAAAAGCCTAAGGGGAAAACCCGACCTTGAATACTGAAGAGCCATTGGATGCTGAGGACACCAAAAGATACTGCATGCTGGAAAAGAGGCTTAGCGCCGAAGGATGGGACACTCATAGCTTTGACGCTCCTGCTTTATGTTTGGTTGAGGACGTGATATTTCCTACGAAGTTTAAGATGCTAGGTTTCAAAAAGTACAAAGGAGCTAGT